CGCCGCGCCAGTGTAACGGTCGGCACACACTGGACCCAGAAGGCCGCCGGTTCGAGTTGATATCGTGGCGCGGCAGTTAAAAGCAACGGTGCAGGTTTATTTAAATCACCTGGCCCCTGTTCATGGAGGGAGCGCCGCACGTACGCTATCAGCAGGTCGTGTGAGTGTGTGTGGTGGGGGGAGCGGTAGTGTAGCGCTACGAAACATGGCGACCCGAATTCGATTCCCGCTCACGGCCAACACCAGTGACGATTATCTGAACCGGTCTTGGGCCTTCCCCAGGTCGACTTAACGAGTGCCTGGTACGGGGTGTAAACATCGCCACTGGGGAGACAAAGGCAGCCGGGCATGGTGTTGGCCACCCACCCCCTGGTGTGCCGTGCCGGCCTTCATAGGTGCTCCCTAACAACACTCGCCCCACCAGTCTGTTACAGGCGAAACGGAGATCTGTCTTTGTTCTGCGGTGGGTTAAAGTGTGGGTCCTCCCAAGACGTGTGACTAGCGTGTCGGACAAAATACCCTGGAGAGAGAGGGGGGCGGCGGCGCTCTCCAGCGCGCTCCCCCGAACAGTGGCGACCTTTCCACGGGTAGCGGCGCGGGTCGAGCAATTGCGGCGCCGGCTGCACCCCGACCTGTCGTCGTTGTTGTTCGCGTGGCGCAACCGATCGGCCGCCGGCGCCGCGACCGGCCGCTCGCGCGACCCGCGCTACACATCGACGCGACCGCCACGACACGAACCTTGGCGCCGTCGTGCGTCTCCGCGAGGCCCTGCTTGCGCTGCTGCAGGCGGCTCTGCAGGGTTTCGAGCCGCTGGCGCTCGCGTTCGACGGTGCGCTGGCTGTCACGCAGGTGCTCGAGGTCGCGCTGGTAGTCCTCGCGCTGCTGCTGCAGCTCCAGCCGGTTGCGCTCGGACTCCTCGCGGGCGCGCCGGCTCTCCTCCTCCTGGTGCCGCAGAGATCGCTGGCGCTCCTCCAGCACCCGCTGCTGCTGCTCCTGTGGTGGAACACGGTGGGGGGGGGGGGGGGGGTGATGGGACACGGGGGCAGAGAGAGATTACGAGGGGGGGGGGGGTGGGCAGGGGTGCAGTTGCGGTGGATAGGTGGTGGCGGTGGTGACGCTGAAGACAATGGGGATGGTGGTGACAATGATGGCCATGGTAGAAACAGTATCGATGTGGACGACGACGACGACGACGCGGACATTAAGTGTTGCAGGCGGAGGGAAAGACAATCTCCGGACAGGCGGACATACGGATGCACAAGCAAACAAAACTCAACACGTCTTTAAATCCACCCCATGCACCCCATCGCCCCTTAGTTTAACACAACGAAGGACGCCGACAATGGCGGTGAGGACAACAGAGCCCTTGCGACGCCGACGCTGGCGCCGCCGACGCGCCCGAGACCGCCGCGTGGTGCTGCGCTGCAGCTCGCCTGCTTGTGCTCCCACTGCTGCTGCTCGCGCTGCAGCTCGGCCTTGCGGCGCTGCACGCTCGCCAGCTCCTCGCGCTGCTTCTCCATGTTGCGCTGCTTCTCGTGCTCCAGGAAGAGGCTGCCGGGCCGTGGCGCCCGGCTGCCCTCACGCTCGAAGAAGCGCTGCAGCTCCAGTGCCGAGTCCTGGCGGCTCACCGCCACCTGGGGGGGGGGGGTCAAAGGGCACGCGCGAACGCACACACGCGTGTGAATGTGCACGTACGTCGTGACTTCACCCCATTGTGTTTAGTTTCTTGTCCTTACTCCCGCACCTCCGATTAGCACGGTTGGCTATGTACGATGTGAAAGAAGTTCAACATAAATTGTTACACGCGCGATGCGAAGAGAAGGGGTCTAGAAAGGGAAGAAAGAAGCAGGTGTACCGTACGCGCGAGTGATCCTCCCTACCTCGATTGATGCTGTTATGAAAAAACACGACTTCGAATTTCATCAGAATATTTGGACATAACTAGTTCAAGTGATTGATGATGATGATGATGGCAGCTCCAGCCTCCGCTGCACCATGCTCGTGAAAGTGAGGGATGATGGGTAATGGGCGGGATGGGGCGGGTTACAGCGTTCACGCCGGGTACAGTGGACAAAGCCGTGGACGCCGGCAATGGCGAGGCAGCAAAAGGAGGACAGGCATTGGCGCCGGCCTCGCCGTGCCGGCCTTCAATAGGCGTCCGCTCACGGCACTCGCCCCAACGGCTCGCGTAGGCTCCGCGGGGAATCTTTTGACTCTGCGTGTGGCGGTGGAAGCAGGGCCGGGAATGTTGTTTCCAGCTTGCGAAGCATCGGGCAAACGTCTCTTTCAACCCGGGATGAATGGGGAGGGGGGGGGGGAGGTGTGTGGTAGCAGGGGCGTTGGGGTCACGAAAGCTCCCGTAAAGATGATCCGATACGAATGGAGCAACGGTAGAAAGTCGTTGCTGCCACGGAGGGGACTTTCCCTACGCTCCCACCGCAGAAAACTCTGGCCGAGACGATAAACAACCCCGTTCAGGGTCATAGTTGCGATCTGGAGGCACGGTCCGTGCGTTTGTACACGAGGCCGGTGTCGCCACCAGGGACACACCAAGTGCCCCAACGTCCCCCACGTGACCCCTTTCCGTCGCGGAACACGGTGTGGCGCGCACGCCGATCGTCCCCCGAGGCGTTTTCCTGCTCACCTTCAGGATGTCCACCAGGCCCTTGAGCTTGGTGATGTGCATCAGCAGCTGGAGCAGAGGAGGAAATGGGGCACACTTTTAGAATTCAGCACTTTTACATGCAATACACTGCTGGTCCAAGCCCCCGCCCCCCCCCCCTCCCATGTCGAGTTGCGGGATTTTGTTTGTCCATATTTCACCGTTCTGGTCAATGCGGCTTTGGCGAAAAGGAGGCACCCATGACCCGTTCGGATATCACTCACCACCGAAATTTAACTCGGGTCACGAGTTTCACAGCGCAGTGCTGCAACGACTGTGCCAAACCTCTTCCACCTCTCGGCGCCACGGTTAACATTCACAGCCCTCCCGTCAGTGCACTCGCTGGATGAAGGCCTCACCCACTGCATGCTTGGCATTGCGGGGGTTGTTTTCTTTGACCATACTTCACCCGCGCTTGTTACGAGTGGGGTTGGTGAAGGGAGGGAGGGGGAGCCCAGAACCAGTTCAACGATAGCTCACGTATGACGTGGTCGTGGCTGAGAATCGAACCCCGGTTTGTCCGAGTCCACGGAGGTGCTTTTAAGCACAGCGGGGCATCAGTTAGCCCAGTGGTTCGTAAACGTTTATTGCAGCCTTGCACCGCTTTGGTTCTCAACCGTAAAACAATGTTTAATGTGAATAAATACACAGGGTTTGATGAAACAAAGTGAGTTGTACTTACGTGCCCGTGCTTAATTTGTGTTTTCGATGATTTACCCTCTAAAAAAATTATCTGGCCGTGTCATGCACCCCCAGAAAGAGCATCTCGCACCCCCAGGGGGTGCAGCGTGCAGCCCAGGTTAGGAACCGCTGAGTAAGCCCAAACGCGTCCGTGCTGCTCAATCACCAACCTCGTGCTTTATATTTTTACGTTAACGATCACTTTGTGAGTTGGACCTCAACAGATTAACCGGGACGAGCAACGTCTGGCTTTGTGTAAGGGTGCGTGCATGGGCGGCTATGAACTCCATTGGCATGTTAGGCTAAGCGACTTGCAAGCTCGTAACAGAACACGTCAGGGAAGTATGTAATAATAATATACAACTTACACTTACAAAGCGCGTTTCACCCAGAGGTCGCAAGGCCCTGCACAGAGCTAAAAGCAAGTAAGTAAATAACTAACGCCATTCTAAAACCTAATATAAGCGCTGCAAGCTCATGATTTAACCACAGCTACAAATAACCCCCTCTCCCCACACTCCCCAAAAGAAATAACAAAATTAACAAGGAGAAAAAGCTTTTTAAAAATGTCTGAGAAAAGGAAAAGGAGGCTGTGATGGTGGGATGCGTGTGCAGGGTGGAGGAGGAGGGCCAGAGAGGGTGGATTATTCTGAGAGAGAAGCTTGAAGGCCGGGTATCATCTTTACCACTCGAACAGAAGGAATGGCATGAATGTTTTTTTACCCTTTTATCTGGCAACAAAACTGACACTTTTTTTATGAGGAGTCATGTTTGCATAGACCACAATACCTGCAGTCATAATGAAAACAAAAAACATAACTCTGATAATGTATGCACTGTCCTTTAAGTTGATTGGGCCACACCCAAGACAGCTTTCCTTAGAGCCTAGTCTCACTACTGGCAAATGAGGTACCAATGGTGTAGAAGGAATGGCGTCGGTGTGGTGGCATCAACGGCACTGCCCCCAATGACTTCTCGACCTCGATTTTAATGCAACTTTGAGACTCACCGCCTGGGGGTCCAGGGAAGAGCAGAGCTCGGCTCCGGCGCAAGCGTCGCCAGTGTCAGGCTCTGCCGAGGAGGAGGAGGAGGAGCAGGAGGCATCGGTGCCATTGCGACGCCCGCCGGACTTCACCGAGTCCTTGAACTCGGGCGGAGGATCGTAGATTTGGGTCTCCGTGGTCAGGGATAAACGGTGAGGAGCGGCCAGCCCCGGCACTGCGCAAGGAGGACACGGCGGCGGGGCTTCGTTACCGACATTTACTGCCGGCGAGCGTCAGAGCGCCTAGGAGTACGGTCCATACAGAACGCGCCACGCTGACCGCACGCGCTAAGCCTTTTGGAGGTGCGACAACGAATGAACCCCTGCGACTTTTTTTGTGGTCTCGTTTTTGTCTGCTTCTTTGTATTGTTGTAAAAATAAGAATAAAAACAGTTTCATATGTAGATGTGTTCGCTCCATTTGGCTGAGTGTAAAGGTTAGCGCGTCGTTTAAATAACAGTAACCCCTAACAAGCACAATCCTCCCGTATCGTCAGCGTAACGATCGACATTTAAATCGGCCAGAGGGGGGCACCACGGATCCTTCGTGGGGCCGGCGTGCGGGATGCTCGTGCGGTCGTTGCGGGCAAGGTGGGGGGGGGGGGGGCCCACTCACGCTCATCGCGGCAGTCGAAGGCTGAGAAGGTGCCGGAGCGCCGGGGCGGCGGCGGCGTGCTCACGGAGGTCGCTTCGGGGCAGCTCACCACGCTGCCGTGCCGCGACGGCACGCCAGTTGGCGCCGGTTGTGCGCTCACCAGCTCCTCCAGGGCTTGCACTGCGCACGCGCGGGGACGGCGGAGACAGCGTCACGCGGAGACGTCATGCGGAGACGTCACATAGAGACATCGCCAGGAGACAGCTTCACGCGAGGTCATCGCCAGGAGACAATCACGAGGAGATGGCATCAAGCAGAGACGTCGCACGGTGACGAACCGGGCAAATGTTTCGAGTGGCCGTAGGAGGAGGCGTCGGGCGCACACAGAGCAGACAAACTCTGCGCACTTCGGATTTCCGCTCTGCTTCCTGTGGTCAACAAAGTCTGCGCGAGTTGCTGCTGGTGCCGCTCAAACGACGCCGAGAGAAGAAAGCAAAGGAAGCGGAGGAAGCCAGCGGACGAGGCCGCGGAGATGAAAATCGCAGAGGCCACTGCTGGACAAGAACCACTCGGAGAAGAAACGAATGATCTGGTGATCCTGCCGCTGCGTTGGCAGTGGTGCACCAGTCAACAACCCAACACCTTCCATTAGCGAGGACAGCTATGTACTGTGCGCAAGAAATTAAAAGTACACACACCGAGTTTAACCACAGACGGCTGCCTATATCCAAAACAAAAACCTCGGTGGTGCCAAGCTCAGCCTTTATAACACACCGAGCCCCTCCAGCACACGTTGACTTTGAACAGGGAGGGGGGGGAGGAGTGGGCGCCAGCGGCGGGAGGTTCGGCACCTTCCTGGGCGATCTGCGCAACGATCGGCTCAGCCTTGGGAGGCTCCGTGGCGTCGGCACGGAGCAGCGCCCTCGTGCCGAAGACAACCTCGCCCCCGCTCATCTCGCTGTAGATTCGCAACTTCTCTTCCACGCTGCTGCTCACGCGCTGGTCCAACTCGAGCAGCCGCTCTGGGAGACAGTTCAAACGTCGTCGTCGTCATCATTTTGTCGTCATCATCATAGTCATGATCATCGTCTTGTTACCATTATCATGATCATCTCGTCATAATAAACATCTCATGCTCATCATTCTGTCATCACTGTCATCATCATTAATCAATATCGTCGTCAGAGTCTTCGTCATCATCATCTTTTGCATCTCATCATCATCACCACCATCACCATGCCAAAAGTTCCGTCCGTAAGCCAATGCCGATCAATCTATGGTTTAACCTGCAAATAATGTGAGCTGGCCTTCTGAGAAATACACCCATCTTACAATGGATAAAGAATGGTCATGATTTATACTGCTCCTGCTGCTGACGATGGTGGTGGTGATGTTAATGAAGATGAATCTGCTCCTGCCGCTACTGCTGTGGATGCTCCTGATTATGATGATTTTGATGACAACGATGCCACCAATACTCCAGATGATAACGATGTGATAACAACGACGCCTCTGATGATGATGACGCTGATGATGGTGTTGCTGCCAATGTCTCACCGCAGAAATGTTTGAGTCGAATCGTTTCCTCCAATTCTGCGGACGCACAAACCGTATCCTCTGTGCAGCTGCGGGGGTGTGGACACACAGCACAAAGGACAAGTTATAGACTCGAAATGCCATAATCTTGGCCTCACGGCCCACCACCACCACCAAGCATCAGAGGCGGCGCGGTTTAACCACGGCACCGGTGCCACGATGAGCACCGCTCTGAGCGCTCGGACCAGGGGTGGGTGCCCGACGGCCGCGACTTCACCCTCACGCGGTCCCGTGGCCACGTGAGGCCCGACCTCACTGCGACTAGCATGGTTGGCCACGTACGGTGAGAGAGAAGCTCAACATGCATACATTCGAACTGTCGTATATTTTATGCAACACCGCAAGCATCACTGAGGTGCGTGCGTGAATGAGTGGCTTCCCACCAAATGTGTTTTGGGGCCTATTCAGCTTTTGGTTCGTCACGCTTAGTCCGTGTGCTGCTCTCCAGCTGCATGGGTGAGAAGTGGGCTGGGTTTTGCCCAATCTTGGCCTAGCTGGCGCAACAAACTTAATAAATAATCAATAATTAACGGAAAAGGTGCCCCACCCCCCGCCAGCGGGGAGAGATTTCCTGCGGCGCGGTTTGACAAATTGACGGCGGCGCGGTCAGACCCACCACTCGACCGCCGAGCGGATTCGCTGGATCCAGACATCGCGCAACTCCCGCGAGCGCAGGTTCAGCTTGTACATCTCCGGGTTGGAGGCGCTGATGAGGAACATCTCCGACTCCTCCAGCGCCACCTCGCGCACAATCAGCCTGTGCAGCGCCAGCACCGCCGCCTTCTGGTCCTGAGGTCGGGGCGGGGGAGGGAGGGGGGGCGAGGACCGCCAGAGAGGAGATGGAGCACTCAGCTGGTTGTGGTCAGCCGGGAGTGTCGCTGGAGGTGGCGGCGGTGGCGCCCGCCTGCCCGCAAGCGGGGAGCCTTCGGAGGCGGCCCCCCCGGCGGATCGTGCAGAGGCCATCGCCGTGGTGATAAACGGGAAGCGCCATTCTAGATTTGAAGTTTTCATGACTGCAAGGATCCATACACTTTGGTTCTTTCGGTAAAGTACCGAAAGAACCAAAGAGTAGGAAAGCGCCGTGCCCGTAGACGGCAACACGGGGAGTACCGCTACCTAACGGCTCATGTCATCGTCGCCGTTGCCATGACGTACGTGTACGGAATGGAACCAAATTTTTTTTTAAAATATCTTTATCGGTGCCGAGGCTCCCACAAGGCCATGGCGGCAGGACGTGTGGCACAGTTTTAGCGCCAGCTATCATAGAGTGCGGTCGTGTTGGTATGGTTCTCTGCGGTGAGTAGGGCCTTCAAAAACAACGGTGCTACGCCTCTCGAAATAAAATTCACAATAACCGCTTGCACGTTCCGAGATTCAGCGGTCAACGGCGACTCTACCCTGCAACTTGCAGACATCTCGGAACGGGAAAGGGTTAACGGCTATGGTCAATATCTAAGTAAATGCGCGTGTGTGTTGCGTGTGTGTGTTGCGTGCGTGTGTTGCGTGCGTGTGTTGCGTGCGTGTGTTGCGTGCGTGTGTTGCGTCTGTGTGTTGCGTCTGTGTGTTGCGTCTGTGTGTTGCGTCTGTGTGTTGCGTCTGTGTGTTTCGTCTGTGTGTTGCGTCTGTGTGTTTCGTCTGTGTGTTGCGTCTGTGTGTTGCGTCTGTGTGTTGCGTCTGTGTGTTGCATGTGTGTGCACGTTGCTCAAGACTTACCAGGGAGGCGAAGACGTATTTCTGATCCTTTTCTTGAAGGAAAATTAAGACATCCGTCATCAACAGGACCCAGACCTCTGCAAAATAGAGACGTTTATGTCAGGATATATGCTGCTTGGGATGATGCTCATGCTTGTAACACTACCACGTGATCAATTGTGCAGACAGACACTAATGATGATGATAGCGACAATGATGGTGATGATAATGAGTGATCTCGATATAATTCTGGTGGTCAATATAATATACGATATAATGAGTGAAAGTGACAGCTCTTAGGCTGATGACGTAAACAACTTTGATGTCGATAGAGAGAGTTCTGCTGCTCGCGGTAACAACGATGGCGAGGATGAAAGCACTGCGGCTGCTGACGCCGCTACTAATGACGCCGACACCAATGATGCTGATGATGATGTTGTTGCTCATGATAGCAGCAACGTCAAGTCATTGATTTTTGGCTCAGATTGCGTGAGTAGAATGTGTGTCACAATAACGATGCTGCCGCTGCTTGGGATAATGACGATGATGATGACGATGATGATGACGATGATGGCAGCGACGATGATGCCGATGAGAATTTATGACGCCGCTGCCACCGACACCCAACAGCGATCTTGACAAACGACGACGAGGATGACGACACACGCGGGGCAGTGACGATGAGGGTGATTATGCGGGCGATGAGGAGGGCGATGCGGGCGACAAGGGTGACGAGGAGGGCGATGAGGAGGAGGGCGATGCCGTGTGCTCACCCTTGTTCCTTCCGGCGGCCGTCTTCCACTGGACGGAGCCCTCGTGCAGGAGGCGCCGTGCGGGCGAGGCGAGGTCGCGGCGCAGGAAGGGGCGCCCGTTGATGCGGCTCTGGGAGCGCGAGTCGACGCGCATCGCCACGGAGCACTGGCGCTCGCGCTCGCGCACAGCGCGCGTCCACGCCCGACACCGCGTCCTTCACCAGCACCAGCGCTCGTGACAGCTCCGCATGCTCCTCTGGGTCGTCTGACGTACGGAAGGGACGGGGCCGAAGGGACAGACGGATGGACGGACGAGAGGATAGATGGACAGAGAGAGGGAGGGGACAAAGAAGTGAATGGATGGCGGCTTGAGTGAACAAGTATTCACTCAACTCGTATTTATTTTACGTGTCGATGTCGCCCTCAATAAAGTGGGCATCGGCGCGCCATCACAGCGGAACGGGAACGGTATACGGGAGGGGCACGGAGCGACAGGAATGAGAAAGAGAAACCCGCCAGGATTTCAGCGGCCAACACCGACCGAGAAAAGTAAACTGCAACCGGTTATTTGGCGAGCGAAGGCACAAGATTTTCAGCAGGCGAGCGAGTTGTTGAGTTAGGGAGTGGCCGAGCGAGTGGGCAGCGGGGGAGGGGGGGGGTTAAGTGACCGCTCGCTCGGGGTTCCCTAATGCGAAAGAGATCGCTCCAGTTTGATAGTCCGCTTAAACTAACGTGGAGGGAGGAAGCAGAGCTAATTAGCTTCACTGTGTTTATGAAACGAGCGCGTTTGAGGCCAGAGGAATTTCGGCGACGGAGGAAAGAGGGGGGGGGGGTAAGGGGGGGGGTTGTTCCCTGACCTTTGGTGTGCTTGAGGATCTCGGCGATCAGGACGGGGTATTTCGTGATCCTCTGGGTCACGAGGAGGATGCACTCCGGAACTCCAAGCCTCCGCGTGTTGGGATTCATGCTCTGCTTCTGTGAACCACAACAGCAAAAGATTGACCTCAGTTTTAGAGATCTACACGGGTTTCTTTTTATTTAAATCGAACTAAGGATGAAAGCATTTATACGTCAGCGCTTGTCCCTCTGTAGGTCCCCCTGTAGATCCCTCTGTGTGTCCATCTGTATGTCCGTCTGTATGTCCGTCTGTATGTCCGTCTGTATGTCCGTCTGTATGTCCGTCTCCGTCTGCATGTACGTCTGCATGTACGTCTGCATGTACGTCTGCATGTACGTCTGCATGTACGTCTGCATGTCCGTCTGCATGTCCGTCTGTTCGTAATGGAAGTGGGGAGACACGGTCCCTCACAAAACCGTTACCCAATATGGAGAAAACGTTGCAATAAAGTTCTGTTGATGTTAGGAAGTTATCTTCTTGAAAACGGCCAAATTGACACAAGCACTCGCGCACACATCACTCACACAATCAGGGGTCCCCTCACCATCACTCACGCGTTCGCGAGTCTCCTCACCAGGACGAAGGATTGGAAGGCCTTGCGGTTGAGCTGCTCCTTGTAGAGGCTCACGGCCTCCTTCTGCCTTCCGCAGAAATCCCCGTACACGTTCACCAGCCTCTCCGCGCTCGCGTCTGAGAACTGAGACAAAACGCCTTGCTGAGCTCGCGCGTCCGAGCCGCGGGGATCGACGTCTCACTCGACCATTCCTCTCTCCGGCTCGCCGGAAGGCGGCGACGGGCAGGCCGCAGCCTGAGCGAGGGGTGTACTGGATGTGGCATGCCGGGGGCGGGCGGGCGAGGGGGGGGAGCTGCGGCGATAACAAACCATACGGCAGGCGTACCTGTTGCACCAGCAAATCGCCAATGCGATTGATGACGAAGTTTTTTCCATCGCCGGTGCCGGTGAGGCTTCCGTTGGTTTGCGCACCGCCACCGCCGCCACCACCACCAATACCGCCACCTAGGGTCGCCAGGATATAATTTATGATTAGTACTATGATTATTATTCACGTAACGATCTAATCCAATAGTTTCACGATCATCACTCCCTACCGCCAACCTTTGCAGGACCCTCCCTCCCTCCCCTCCGTGTTCGGTGGCGAGGCTCTACGCAACAGCATCAACATCGCAGCATCGTCGTCGTCGTGCGGTGACCCCCTACCTCCGCCGGTGTCCTCCAGCGCTCGCCGCCGGCACTCGCACAGCGCGGCCAGGAAGCCCTCGTGGAGCTCGCGGAGGTCGGCGAGGCGCGGGAATATGCGGTCGATGACGCCGCTCTCCAGCGCGGCCTCCTCCCGCATGCCGCGCGCAAACACGTCGCTCATGATGTGCAGCGTACGCACGTGGTGGATCTCCGTCAGCATCAGCTCTGCGGGGTGTGGGGGGGTGGGGCGCGGCGGAGAGGTCGGGGGGCAGAGGTCGAGGGGAGAGGTCGGGGGGGGAGAGGTCGGGGGGGAAGAGGTCGGGGGGGGGAGAGGTCGGGGGGGGAGAGGTCGGGGGGAGAGGTCGGGGGGAGAGGTCGGGGGGAGAGGTCGGGGGGGAGAGGTCGGGGGGAGAGGTCATGGGGGGAGAGGTCATGGGGGGGAGAGGTCATGGGGGGAGAGGTCATGGGGAGAGAGGTCATGGGGGGAGAAGTGATGGGGGGAGAGGTCATGGGGGGAGAGGTCATGGAGAGAGGTCATGGGGGGAGAGGTCATGGGGGGAGAGGTCATGGGGGGAGAGGTCATGGGGGGAGAGGTCATGGGGGGAGAGGTCATGGGGAGAGGTTGGGGCGAGGCGGACATCAGAAGGAGAGTGAGTGGGGAGGTTGGGAGGAAAAGAGAGCACCTTGAATTAGCACGGTTGGCTATGTTGGCTACGTACGGTGCGAAATAAGTTCAACGGACACACAGGGCGAGGGGGTGGATCGAGTATGCAGATCCGCGGCCTCCACTCGTGCAGACCTGCCCATCGGCGGCGGTGCCTCCCTCCATTAACAACCAAGGCCAACTCTACAAAGATCTCTAAGCGAGTCTGTGAGTCTCTATGTGAGTCTGTGGGTCTCTATGTGAGTCTGTGGGTCTCTATGTGAGTCTGTGGGTCTCTATGTGAGTCTGTGGGTCTCTATGTGAGTCTGTGGGTCTCTATTTGAGTCTGTGGGTCTCTATGTGAGTCTGTGGGTCTCTATGTGAGTCTGTGGGTCTCTATGTGAGTCTGTGGGTCTCTATGTGAGTCTGTGGGTCTCTATGTGAGTCTGTGGGTCTCTATGTGAGTCTGTGGGTCTCTATGTGAGTCTGTGGGTCTCTATGTGAGTCTGTGGGTTTCTATGTGAGTCTGTGGGTCTCTATGTGAGTCTGTGGGTCTCTATGCGAGTCTGTGGGTCTCTATGTGAGTCTGTGGGTCTCTATGTGAGTCTGTGGGTCTCTATGTCGAGTCTGTGGGTCTCTATGTGAGTCTGTGGGTCTCTATGTGAGTCTGTGGGTCTCTATGTGAGTCTGTGGGTCTCTATGTGAGTCTGTGGGTCTCTATGTGAGTCTGTGGGTCTCGATGCGAGTCTGTGGGTCTCTATGTGAGTCTGTGGGTCTCTATGTGAGTCTGTGGGTCTCTATGCGAGTCTGTGGGTCTCTATGCGAGTCTGTGGGTCTCTATGCGAGTCTGTGGGTCTCTATGCGAGTCTGTGGGTCTCTATGCGAGTCTGTGGGTCTCTATGTGAGTCTGTGAGTCTCTATGTGAGTCTGTGGGTCTCTATGTGAGTCTGTGAGTCTCTATTTGAGTCTGTGGGTCTCTATTTGAGTCTGTGGGTCTCTATGTGAGTCTGTGGGTCTCGATGCGAGTCTGTGTTTCTCATGTGAGTCTGTGGGTCTCTATGTGAGTCTGTGGGTCTCTATGTGAGTCTGTGGGTTTCTATGTGAGTCTGTGGGTCTCTATGTGAGTCTGTGGGTCTCTATGCGAGTCTGTGGGTCTCTATGTGAGTCTGTGGGTCTCTATGTGAGTCTGTGGGTCTCTATGCGAGTCTGTGGGTCTCTATGCGAGTCTGTGGGTCTCTATGTGAGTCTGTGAGTCTCTATTTGAGTCTGTGGGTCTCTATTTGAGTCTGTGGGTCTCTATGTGAGTCTGTGGGTCTCGATGCGAGTCTGTGTTTCTCATGTGAGTCTGTGGGTCTCTATGTGAGTCTGTGGGTCTCTATGCGAGTCTGTGGGTCTCTATGCGAGTCTGTGGGTCTCTATGCGAGTCTGTGGGTCTCTATGTGAGTCTGTGAGTCTCTATGTGAGTCTGTGGGTCTCTATGTGAGTCTGTGAGTCTCTATTTGAGTCTGTGGGTCTCTATTTGAGTCTGTGGGTCTCTATGTGAGTCTGTGGGTCTCGATGCGAGTCTGTGTTTCTCATGTGAGTCTGTGGGTCTCTATGTGAGTCTGTGGGTCTCTATGCGAGTCTGTGGGTCTCTATGCGAGTCTGTGGGTCTCTATGCGAGTCTGTGGGTCTCTATGTGAGTCTGTGAGTCTCTATTTGAGTCTGTGGGTCTCTATGCGAGTCTGTGGGTCTCTATGCGAGTCTGTGGGTCTCTATGCGAGTCTGTGGGTCTCTGAAAGTCTGTGGGTCTCTATGCGAGTCTGTGAGTCTCTATGCGAGTCTGTGTTTCTCATGTGAGTATGTGGGTCTCTATGCGTGTCTGTGAGTCTCTATGTGAGTCTGAGTCTCTATGTGAGTCTGTGGGTCTCTATGTGAGTCTGTGCGTCTTTATTTGAGTCTGTGGGTCTCTATGTGAGTCTGTGGGTCTATATGCTAGTCTGTGGGTCTCTATTTGAGTCTGTGGGTCTCTATGTGAGTCTGTGGGTCTCTATGCGAGTCTGTGGGTCTCTATGCGAGTCTGTGGGTCTCTATGTGAGTCTGTGGGTCTCTATGCGAGTCTGTGGGTCTCTATGCGAGTCTGTGGGTCTATATGTGAGTCTGTGGGTCTCTATGTGAGTCTGTGGGTCTCTATGCGAGTCTGTGGGTCTCTATGCGAGTCTGTGGGTCTCTATCAGTCTGTGGGTCTCTTTGTGAGTATTGGGTTTCAGGTTATGGGTCTCTATATGAGGTTATGGATCTTAGGTTATGGGTCTCTATTTGAGGTTATGAGTCTTAGGTTATGGGTCTATGTGGGTATATGGATCTGTATGTGATTATATGGGTCTTTATGTGAGGTTATGGGTTTATATATGAGTATATGTCTCTATGTGAGGTAATAGGGCTCTATGTGAGGTTATGGGTCTCTATGTGAGGTTATGGGAATCTATGTAAGGTTATGGGTCTCTATGTGAGGTTATGGGTATCTATATGTCTCCATGTGAGGTTATGGGTCTCTATGTGAGGTTATGGGTCTCTATGTGAGGTTATGGGTGTTAATGTCTCTATGTGAGGTAATGGGGCTCTATGTGGGTCTATGCGTCTCTGTCCTCACTGTTTCTCTACAGTCTTGAGATGTGGTCGTGTTTGGATACTGGGTAATCCACATTGTACAGTCTTGTAAAGTGGCTTGAGGAACAATTAACTAACATGAAAATCAACTGGAGTAATTCAACATAAAAAAAACCAAGCAGATATAGTATTAACATATCAAAAACGGTAAATGATTAAAATAAAATAGAAAAAATCAGGAGTAACAATTTGATGTGCATTCGAGACAAAAGCTAAAAAAAAGGCATCCGCGCGTCTCCCTCAGACGCTGATAACATGCCCTCAGACGCTGATAACATGCGTCACGGAGCTGAACCAGAACATTGGAGGCCCTGGGTTCAAGCCCTGGGGCTGGGTGTCTCTTTGGGGGGGAGGGGGGGGGTGATTGCCTGGGCTGGGCCCACTGAGCCGGAACATTTGAGGTCGTAGGATCAATCCCTAGGCGGCCTCGGTTTTCCCTCTCGCTCTCTCCACCTGTCAAAGCACCGAGCCGGAACATTTCCAGGCCAGGCTTCAGCAGCCTCGGGAGAGGGGGCGGGGGGGGAGTGGGGGGCTGTGTGTCTCTCGGGGGGGGATAACGCTCCTCTAGCGGAGGCACCGGGCACTCGAATCGCGGGTCGGTTTCCAGGTAGACTTTATTCCAATTTTACAGCGGCGTCATTTTCTTAAGCGCAATTTGACGCGAGCGCCACCGGACCTCCGGGCCCTCTCACCGTAGATGACGTCCTGGCGCTTGACGGTGCTGGGCTCCAGCTGCTTGAGGAAGGTGGGCGTGACAGCGCGGCTCCACGACTCCACGTCAAACCCCTCGGGGTCGGTGACGTCGGGCGAACGCAGGGGGCCGCCGGCATCCACCACGTCGCATTCCAGCGCTGCCACGTTCACGGATACAACGAAGTCAACAACAACAACAACGATGTTAACAATGTCGGCAACAACAATGACGACGTCAACAACGACGACATCAATAATGACCGGTCAAAAAACGCAGCCACTCTATACATGTCAACCCCTTATCAGTGCCCTACCTTATTACAGACATATTCAAACCTTACTGGTCACCCCGTGCCCCTTATAAACCGCTATGTTCATGCTACCGAGTCCCATGACAAGGGAGAAACACAAAAAAATATATTAAAAAATGTATTTGCCCGTATTGAAACGGCTTTACGCAGTATGGACCTGAATACTCAATTCTTGTACAGATAGCCAGATTTGTGGAGAAGTCCACCTGTTTAGTTCCTTAGAAAGAGGCGTAGATGTGGTGACCACGCTTCTGCGCTCTTGCGCAAAGTCGGGGGGGGGATTACTGAGGCTACGTACATTATATGCATGATGTCAGGTGGTGGAGGGTTTTAACGAAACATTTATATATTTACGCGATCTAAGCCTACGTGTTAAACTAACCACAGTCCTGTTACCTTCAGTACCGATTTCTGCTCTGGCCTGTGGGACTTCATGGGCGACCGGTAAAGTGCGTTTGGTTGCATTGTATAAACAATAATAATATATTGCTAGTCTATGGATTGCCTACAGGTGAATATAAAGTGTGCGCCGTAATTTTACCAGCGACGGGTTTGGCTCACGGTAATTTATCTCCACAAAATATTGCACGCAAGATAAAGTGCATTATTATTATCAGGTCTGTCCATTGTACAATTTTCAAAAGGGGCTCACGACATACACCAGGCAATTGTGTATTGTAGTGATGATAAGCATGACCAGTGCCAATAAGCCTAACTAACAGATTACCATGTCAAAGGTCAATTATTTTTATACTTTTTATCTCGTTCACAAAAACTACACATCATAAGCTTACATCATAAGCTTACTACTACGACACATCATACGCTTACAAGTTCGATTTAACACAGTACGTAAAATTCGTGATCTGATCCCATCTGTGAAGGATGCGATCCCTGACATGCAATACCCCGGCATCTACAAACTACGCTGTGTCTGGGGCCGTAGTTACATTGGGGAAACTAAGCGACATGTCTCGGACCGTGTTCGTGAACACAAGGCAGATCTGAAATACGGTAGGACCAATACCTCGGCCGTGGCTGATCATTGTTTTAATGCGGTGGGCTCACACGAAATTGATTTCTCTAAGACGAAGGTACTTGGCAAACCCACTGGCTATCAACAAAGATTTGTTCATGAAACCATCCATATATATAGACAACAGACACAATTTCAACCGAGAAGATGGGTACAAACTGAGCAATCATTGGAAGGACGTTGTCAACCAGTTTAAGTCATAACTGGCTGTGATGTTCCCATCCTACCACCTTCCGATGTTAGTTGTTATTTTCAGCTCTCTGATTTTTACATTAACAGATTAAATTTCTAAAACTAACACAGCCACCTCGCGTGCCGACCTCGAGGTTGGTGCTCTGCGATCTTCCATGAACATTCTCATCTCTCACATTAACATTCTCATCTCTTACATTAACATAGCCACCTTGGTGTGTTCGCCGTGCAGGATGCTCGGCCATCTTATACATTAACATGCTCATTTTTACCTGGCAGCCCTTTGATTGGTGGAAAACCAGAGGTCGCAAACGGGTTTTGATTCCGTACCCGTACCCGGCTGCACCAGGGTCGCAAACGAGTACCCGTACCAGTACCCGGCTGTACCCATAACTGGCCGGGTACGGGTAGGGTACGGTAGGGTACGGGTAGGGTACGGGTATCGGGTACCTGATTGCGACCTCTGGGATGAAGCCATGTTGCAGGCGCGGGTGGGTTGATTCTAGGAACTTGAATTGTGAGAAGAGACAAGACGTTGGGAAATGAGTTACAAACGTTTACTCACCAGTGACTCACGGCCTACCCGTACCCGTACCCGGCCGCACCAGGGTCGCAAACGGGTACCTGTACCCGTACCCGGCCGGGTACGGGTAGCCGGGTATCGGGTAGGGTACGGGTATCGGGTACCCGGTTGCGACCTCTGTGGAAAACCCACCACCGCCGCGGTCACTGCCCACCACTTACATTAACATTGGCTGCTGACATTTGGGCTACGCCCACTTCAAAGCTTTATGAGCAGTTTGTCTTCAGAAGCTAACCCCGCTTTTCCTGATGACGACCGCTTGTGTCGCGATCGAAACGTCGTAGCTTTTGCTATTTTTGTTATTTCTTTGAACCTATCTAAGTGACTTTACCAAAAGGACCAAACAATATAGCTGACTAATGACACTTCATTCATGGAAAATTGTGAAGCAGTCCAGCCAGAGTTCTCCTGATCGGTATAAATACTTGCAGATTAGCGCCTGCTACAGTAGATGCGGTTATATTTAATAATGGATTATAAACTATGCACCGGTGATACACGATCCACCAAACCCTGCCTGCAATGTGTTGGGTTACGGCCACACGACATCATGCCTGCCTGGCAATGAGCCAATAAAAATGAGCCAATAGAAATTATACAACAGAAATGAGACAATAGATATTAGACAATAGAAGTGAGACAATATAAATTAGATAACACAAGTGAGACAATATATATCAGACAATAGAAATGAGCCAATAGATATCAGACAATAGAAACGAGACAATAGATATTAGACAATAGAAGTGAGACAATAGAAATTAGACAACAGAAGTGAGACAATAGATATCAGACAATAGAGATGAGCCAATAGACATTAAAGGAACTACACGGCACAAGTGGAAATGGCGGCATGCGGTACCTTCATTGGGCGGCGAATCGGACGGCTTGATGTAGCCCTCTCCACCTTGCAGTAACGAATCGTGCTCGGTTTCCGAGTCCATCTCTTCTAAAACGGAGCTGAGGGGGTGGAAGGGAGGCGGAAAAACAAAGAAGCAAAAAACACACGTGCGCGTTGCAGCTAAACTTCGTGGATGCCACCACCAGCACCACCAACCACCAGTGCCACCAGCACCACCAGTGCCACCACCACCAAAGATCCCCCGTGTAGCCTTAACAGACTGTTGGGGCAAGTGCTGTTAGCGAGCACCTATGAAGTCTGGCACGGCACACGAGGGGGTGGGTGGCCAGCACCACGCCCGGCCGCTTTCGTTTCCCCAGTGTTAATGTTTACACAATGCACCAGGTACTAATTTGAGGCTGAGTCGACCTAGGGGAGGCCCAGGACCGGTTCAAATAATGGTCACTGGTGTTGGCCGCGAGCGGGAATCAAACCCGGGTCGCCGGGTTCGTAGCACAGCGCGCTAATCGCTGCACCACCGCTCCCCACCAACACCAGCACCACCAGCACCACCAGCACCACCAGCACCACCAGCATCACCAGCATCACCAGCACCACCAGCACGCATCACACCTGAGGTTGCCACCTGTTCCGGTTTTTCCCAAGAACTTCCTATTGCCGAGGAGGCAGCTGCTGTCCTGGGAAATCTGGCAGTCTCTTTTCATTTTTGTGTGTATGTGTGTATAGTTTGTTATCCTTTCCCCACACCTCCGATTTGCACGGTTGGCTAGGTACGGTGCAAAAGAAGTTCAATATACACACACACATACACAGTCTTCCCGGCAACATTAAAAGTTCATTTTTTTTTGCCAGTTGCGTAATAGTAATAAAAGTAATGGTGATACGAGGCTACTTATGACAACGCACATCACACGTGCGGCTCTCAACGTTGCTATTGTGAGATTTATAAAAAAACAAAACGAAATTCTCTTCCTCTCCCAGGTTGACTGTTTCCCCTCCTCCCCTATCCATCTGAGCACGGTCGGGTACATTGCCCTGGTGGATATTCACGTACGGTTGTTCTTTTTTGTGTCGCCCATCGTCCTGCTACGGGCCTTCGTTCTTGTGTACAGCAAAAAAAAAAACCGAATATAAATATATTACAAACAAAAACCCCCTCACCTCTGGAGGTTGCTGGAGGAGCCACTTTTCGGCAGGGTGGCAGTGCCGGCCATGTTGGCTCCGGGCGACGTGGCGAACGAGGAGGAGCCGAGGGTGGCACCGTGGGAGAGCCTCCCGTCGGCGGGCAAACTCACAGAGAGCGGCCTCTGCGGCGGATGCGTGTGGCCTAGGGTTAGGGGCGGCAGGAGCGGCGATGGACAGAGAAGAGGAGGGGTCGGGGAGAGGAGGGAGAGAAACGTCGGGGAGAGGGGGACAGAGAAGAGGGATGGGGAGAGAGGGAGAGAGACGAGGGGAGGGATGGGGAGAGAGGAGGAGAGATGGAGGAGAGGGGGAGAGAGACGAGGGGGGGAGATGGGGAGAGATGAGGAGGGATGGGGATGGGGAGAGGGGGAGAGAAACGAGGGGGGGGGGATGGGGAGAGATGAGGAGGGATGGAGGAGAGGGGGAGAGAGACGAGGGGGGGGATGGGGAGAGATGAGGAGGGGTTGGGGAGAGGGGGAGAGAGATGAGGGGGGATGGGGAGAGATGAGGAGGGGTCGGGGAGAGGGGGACAGAAATGAGGGGGAAGGATGGGGAGAGATGAGGAGGGATGGAGGAGAGGGGGAGAGAGATGAGGGGGGGGGGGGAGAGATGAGAAGGGGTCGGGGAGAACGGGAGAGAGACGAGGGGAGATGGGGAGAGACAAAGAGGGATAGGAAGAGGAGGAGAGGGACAGAGAGGAAGGGGCACGAATTGGAGTGAACGTGGTGTTAAGTGCAGTCCCCCCCTTATTAACCCTTCCCTTTCTGGCCTCTCTCTAACATTTTCTTTTTAAGGCAACAGTGTTATTGAGTTTTTCATTAAATTTTGTTTGACCGCAGCAATACAACAACAATCATTTCCCTCAGTGGCAGAGAGGGTGGGGGACGGTGCTCTCCTCCTCCGACTGTGTGAACCAGGGCGACCTACGGTTGACACGGCAGGAGGGCAGCACCGCTGTATCTGCCACGAGGACCGCTCTCTTAACCCAAAGTGTCGCACGCCTCTGCGAGAGACTCGGGATTATAATAAGAATAATTTGTAATAATTGAAATTCATAATGCGCATTCCATCCTAGGATCCCAATGCACAATGCATGGAAAGCAGGAAACAAAAACAGAACCAAGGGGCAACCGAACAAACTAAAGAGGGAAGGCCACTTTAAAAAGATGGGTTTTCAAAGCAGACTTAAATATTTCTACCGATTCCAATTTCCTGATTTTCCTGATCCCTTCCTCGCCTCGTGACGCGACGCCCAAAACGCGCACGGATCGACTGTGGGGCCATTTTCGCGATGAAACATTGCGGGTACTCACCAGCGTAAGAAAACGAATGGAAGTCTCCTCCAGCGCTCGACTTAGACTGCGCACGCGGAGAGAGAGAGAGAAAACGAGCCAGCGGTTTGCACCCCCCCAAACCACTCGTGGCACGGATTCGCACGATTCTCTCAGAGCGATATCCACCGTCATCGCAATGACGTGCGGCAAAGGTTCGCTCTACAGATTCGATGACTCGACGTCACCCCCCCCAACCACCATTCGTGGTCGCGAATCAATAACGATAACAAATCATTTTTGCGAGTGACGTTTGTTTGGCTTCTCATTTTTATGCCTCGATTTGTGGGTTTCCACTCACCTCACGTACTCGCGTACGTTTTACACAAATAGTTAAATCGTCGATCCTGACACTCGCGCGTCACGCTCGCAATCTGGTGCGTGTGCCATCTGGCGTAGGAATCTTGGTATCACGCCCCCCCCCCCACCCCCCACATGCCTATAAATTGTATGATTTTTAAAACGGGGCTTGCATTGTCAATGGTGGAGTGCATGAGCAGCTCCTTGGCCAAGAAGCCAAATTATTGGGTGAATTTTTATTGTCGTTTCAACCTTGGTCAAGTTAACGGTGTCACAGCTTTCAAATGAATCATCGTCCAGTAAAATTGGTGGAGCGGTCTCGGAAGCATTCTCTGGATATGCACGCATATGTACGTACATACATACAGATTACCAGCTTACACGACGTATTATAATTTGACACAGGGTAAACGGAGCTGTTTGAGAATGTTTCCAAAAGGTTAATCAAGGTCAGAGCGTGTTCCGGGCGGCACACATCTCCGGTTCAGTAAATTCCTCGTCTTTCCAAAGCACAACCACTGTTGACTTTCCACAAAAGGGGTACTAGTTTTATCGACACTTGGACGGATGATAAGCCAAGTTCTTCCCCGAATGGCGATTTGAAATTGCGATTCTGCGGCTCGATCGCTTGCTCCGGCCTGGCTGGAGAGTTGTTGCACAAGTACTCTTCAGCACGGCCAAGGGCTTAAAATGACTTTTACACTTACAAAAAAAGTACACCTTGCCATCTTTACAAAATGTTACCCTATTTGTATTTTAAGATTGTATATTACGGCTAGTTTACATTTAATATTGTACACTTATTCACGATTTGACATACTTTAGCCCCTTAGTATTAGTTAGACTTTGTAATTTTAGTATAGTTAGACTGTATACCACTTATTTAAGTTTTAAGATTCCTACATGTTGAATGTATGCACCTTCCGGCCATAGTAAATTGCTTGTCTGTGCAAACTTTCATGGCGAATAAAACCCTTTCTGATTCTGATTCTGCACTTAGGCGATCCACTGCTGGATCAGGGCCTCCCCACACTGAACGGGGCATTGCTATATTTGACCATACCTCACCGTGCCGGTCAGTGTAGGTTTGCTGAAGGCGAGTAGCAAAGGCATGGAAGTAGGGGTACAATGGTACTTCTCCGCACTGCTCTCTACCGCCAACCTCGTAGCCCTGCAGCGGCCTATAACAACGTGGTGTGCACGGTGGTCGCCCATCCAAGCACTAAACTCGGGGCTCGAGACTCCAAGAGCTGACGTGATCCGGGCGATTCTCGGTCAGAGGCAAGTGGTGGTTCGTGATTGGTGCGATGTACGATGCAGGATGACGATGATGACGACGACGATGATGCCAGTTCACCGCGATTAACGTACCTTTGAAATGTGTTTGGGACAGGGACTCAAGTAATCCGAGCAATTCCGATGAACGCACACATTGCAACCTGCGCACGTCACATACACACAAGCGCACACGCGCGCGCACGAGAGAGAGAGAGAGCAACATTTAATATTTTGCTTGGGTAACACATCTTTTCATCTTTGTGGAGTTTGACTTCTATATTGTAGGAGGTATTCTTCCTCGCATTAGGAATAGCGGGTGCATATAATTTATTGATTTTTTTTATCTTAATTGTAAACTAGTTGAAGATACATTAATAAAGGTGCTGCCCCCCCCCTCCCTCCCCACAAACTCCGCCCATGATCATCGCTTTATTTTTGTTTTATTATCGCGTTCATTTGTTTCGCTGCACCGATAGATTCAGCGGTGGACATTCTTTGTTTGCAGCCTCCCGTGACAAAAGAAATTCAGTCTTGATAGGCCCTCACCTGGCTATAAACAGAGTTACCGTGCACTTCTCTAGTTTACGTGAGTGTATGAATGTAAACACAACAGCAGTGTAATCGTAACAACAGCATCTCGCGCCGCATGCCGTGGGATCGATTAACCGCATCGCAAAACCGCCAAAGATGTTAACAGCTTGGGAAGGCCTTCATCCATCAACGGATAGATCACGGCTAATGGTGATGATGATACACACACACAGACCATTTATTTAGCTTGCACAGACTCCTGGAATCGTAACAAAGAATCACTAAACTCTACAACGCTGCTCTGCAAAGACACAAACATCACCCTTCTTGCCGTACAGACTATTAGCGGGAGCTCTGTTAGCGAGCACCTATTAAGACCGGCACGGCGCATGGCCGCCTTCGTCTCCCCAGTGATGCTGTCCGTGGACTGCACCGGCTGACCTTGGAGAGGCCCAAAATAGATTGTGACACCCACTTACGGGTTGATGTAATCAGTAACCGGTAACTGAACACAGGTCAACTGGTTCATAGTGCAGAGCGCTTCGCCATTGCATCACTCCACATGCGAGCGCAAACACACGGAGAGTTCAAACCAAGTTGTGTTTGGGAATTTCTACTCAGGATGGGGCTACTCATGAGGAGGGCATTGTGGGCCAGCCAGGACCACATAGACCAGGCCCACCTTTGTATCACCATCGCTCGTATTGAACTGGTACAAAGTTCAGGCCAAGTTAACCTTAAGAGAGGCCCAAGCCAGGCGCATCTACTATTGTAGTTGTAGGCCCAGACCCTAGGCCCAGAATATCCGTATCAAGTTCACTGAGATTGTACCGCAGTATTTCGTTACACTCTGAACACGGCGCGAAACGAATATCGACAACATTCGTCACCAGCGAGCGTCATTGCAATACGCATCTATTCACTCTTAATCCATGGTCGTCAATAACTAAAATTTATTAACAAGTGTCACAATTTATTAAACCGGCTCTGGCGGTCATGTGAGCGTTTGACGAAACGCCATGAGGTCTCCCCCCCCCGCATCTCTCTCCCTCTCCTCGCACTCTCTGGCATTCGATTTATCTACAGCTTCGTGACTCGCAGATGTCAGCGAGGTGGTGATGCGTCGAGCTCTAAGCTCTCTCCAGCAGAGCGGTGGTGCCCGCTCTCCTCCGGGTTGGGTCGCGCACTTCACAAAAGGGGTGAAGGAGCTGTTGACGCCCTACGCTCGGTACACTACCCAACCGTTGTCCGACTGTTCGGCTCTCCAGTTGGACACCTCTGCCGTGGATAAGCAGCATGCTCTGGGTGCATGGAGCGTCCAAATGACACCGTGCCTCTCGATGCTGGACAACTAGCGGGGAGAAAACGTTGCATCGAGAGGCCGTGGGAGGGGAGAGAGAATATTTGCCACCACTTGCCAACTCCCAGACCCATTTTGTTTGTATTTGTTTCTTGTCTTTAGGAACGACCATTCCGTTGTTATCAGTTCCTTTGGCTTAACTGTAACACGAGTGCCTCATCATCGTCGTCATCATCATCATCATCATAATTCATCGCCGTCGTCATCTTCAACCAAGATCAATCCGACTCTGGTGGCATGCCTCCCGAGCCATCGTCAGAATGCATACTTCAAATAAATACTCAATCGTAGATTTTCATGCGGACACATCGACGCATGTGCCACAAGAGTGAGGCCCGATTTTGAATCGATGAATCCGTTACATGGACAGATGCCAAACGGGAAGCATGGCCTAGCTAGCTAGCGTGACTACACGGAGACAAACCAACGCAATCATAGCGGAGACAGACACCAACACAATCATAGCAGAGACAGACACCAACACAATCATAGCAGAGACAGACACCAACACAATTACAGCAGAGACAGACACCAACACAATCACAGCAGAGACAGACACCAACACAATCATAGCGGAGACAGAACAACACAATCATAGCGGAGACAGACACCAACACAATCATAGCAGAGACAGACACCAACACAATCATAGCAGAGACAGACACCAACACAATCATAGCAGAGACAGACACCAACACAATTACAGCAGAGACAGACACCAACACAATCACAGCAGAGACAGACACCAAAACAATCATAGCGGAGACAGATCAACACAATCATAGCAGACAGACCACACAAACATAATGGAGACAGACCAACACAATCATAGTGGAGACAGACACCAACACAATCATAGCAGAGACAGACACCAACACAATCATAGCGGAGACAGACACCAACACAATCATAGCAGAGACAGACCAACACAATCATAGCAGAGACAGACACCAACACAATCATAGCAGAGACAGACCAACACAATCATAGCAGAGACAGACCAACACAATCATAGCAGAGACAGACCAACACAATCATAGCAGAGACAGACACCAACACAATCATAGCAGAGACAGACCAACACAATCATAGCAGAGACAGACACCAACACAATCATAGCGGAGACAGACACCAACACAATCATAGCAGAGACAGACGCCAACACAATCATAGCAGAGACAGACGCCAACACAATCATAGCAGAGACAGACCAACACAATCATAGCAGAGACAGACCAACACAATCATAGCAGAGACAGACACCAACACAATCATAGCGGAGACAGACACCAACACAATCACAGCAGAGACAGACACCAACACAATCATAGCAGAGACAGACCAACACAATCACAGCAGAGACAGACACCAACACAATCACAGCAGAGACAGACACCAACACAATCATAGCAGAGACAGACACCAACACAATCATAGCGGAGACAGACCAACACAATCATAGCAGAGACAGACACCAACACAATCATAGCAGAGACAGACACCAACACAATCATAGCAGAGACAGACACCAACACAATCATAGCAGAGACAGACACCAACACAATCATAGCGGAGACAGACCAACACAATCATAGCAGAGACAGACACCAACACAATCATAGCAGAGACAGACACCAACACAATCATAGCAGAGACAGACACCAACACAATCATAGCGGAGACAGACCAACACAATCATAGCAGAGACAGACACCAACACAATCATAGCAGAGACAGACACCAACACAATCATAGCAGAGACAGACACCAACACAATCATAGCAGAGACAGACACCAACACAATCATAGCAGAGACAGACACCAACACAATCATAGCAGAGACAGACACCAACACAATCATAGCAGAGACAGACACCAACACAATCATAGCAGAGACAGACACCAACACAATCATAGCAGAGACAGACACCAACACAATCATAGCAGAGACAGACACCAACAGAATCATAGCAGAGACAGACACCAACACAATCATAGCGGAGACAGACACCAACACAATCATAGCAGAGACAGACACCAACACAATCATAGCAGAGACAGACACCAACACAATCATAGCAGAGACAGACACCAACACAATCATAGCAGAGACAGGCACCAACACAATCATAGCAGAGACAGACACCAACACAATCATAGCAGAGACAGACACCAACACAATCATAGCAGAGACAGACACCAACACAATCATAGCAGAAACAGACACCAACACAATCATAGCGGAGACAGACACCAACACAATCATAGCAGAGACAGACACCAACACAATCATAGCAGAGACAGACACCAACACAATCATAGCAGAGACAGACACCAACACAATCATAGCAGAGACAGACACCAACACAATCATAGCAGAGACAGGCACCAACACAATCATAGCAGAGACAGACCAACACAATCATAGCAGAGACAGACACCAACACAATCATAGCAGAGACAGACCAACACAATCATAGCAGAGACAGACACCAACACAATCATAGCAGAGACAGACCAACACAATCATAGCAGAGACAGATACCAACACAATCATAGCGGAGACAGACACCAACACAATCATAGCAGAGACAGACACCAACACATTCACAGCGGAGACAGACACCAACACAATCATAGCAGAGACAGACACCAACACAATCATAGCGGAGACAGACCAACACAATCATAGCAGAGAGAGACCAACACAATCATAGCAGAGACAGACACCAACACAATCATAGCAGAGACAGACACCAACACAATCATAGCGGAGACAGACCAACACAATCATAGCAGAGAGAGACCAACACAATCATAGCGGAGACAGACCAACACAATCATAGTGGAGACAAACCAACACAATCATAGCAGAGACAGACACCAACACAATCATAGCAGAGACAGACACCAACACAATCATAGCAGAGACAGACCAACACAATCATAGCGGAGAGAGACCAACACAATCATAGCGGAGACAGACCAACACAATCATAGCAGAGACAGACACCAACACAATCATAGCAGAGACAGACCAACACAATCATAGCGGAGAGAGACCAACACAATCATAGCGGAGACAGACACCAACACAATCGTAGCGGAGACAGACCAACACAATTGTAGCAGAGACAGACACCAACACAATCATAGCAGAGACAGACCAACACAATCATAGCAGAGACAGACACCAACACAATCATAGCAGAGACAGACACCAACACAATCATAGCAGAAACAGACACCAATACAATCATAGCAGAGACA